TTGCTGTGAAGTTTCTGCATCGCTGCTGTCCTACGTCCCCTGGGACAACAACCCTTTCTTAGCAGTGAGGGAAGCTTTCCCAGGGCATGGCTGGCCTGGCAAGCTCTGACCTGGTTTCCTGGAGGTGGGAGCCTCCTCTTGCTCCTCCTGCAGCGCTGCTGGCCTGAGAACGAGCACTCCAGCTTTGGGCAAGGACAGTTCAGGTCAGCTGTTGTGTGGGCTGTGACACATACACAGGGTGGTTAGAGGTGGCTGGCCTTAGGGTGGGGTAATATTACAAAAATATTTATTGACATTCATCTGGAATGACCTGCATGACTTGCCCATGTCTTCAGCAGTTGCCAGCTCATCCCAGACATATCCTGACTTCAAACCATCCAATTCCTCCTCTCCTTGCAGAAGATCTCTTAGAGAGAGGACCACGTTCTGGCAGCCCTCTGCCCTGGGACTGACACAGCAGCTTCTTGAAGAAATATGTTAATTTTTGCATCTGCTTCAGATCTGAGGCAGATCCACCCCCAAGCTGGCTGGCACAGCGACTGGTGGATGGCAGTGAGAAAGCCCCAAGACGGCCAGCAGCCTGCTGCCAGTGGTGGGGACATCTGCATACTCCCTTCGTGACATGGGCAGCTGCACCCGGAGCTCTGGGCCGTGGGGCCACAGGAGAGGCAGTAGCTCATGGCTGGATTTCTACTCTCTGCTTTGCTTTCCACACGCTGCTTTTGCTCAGCTCTGGACCTGTTGGCCTGGTAGCATGTTGATGACGCTTCCAGGTGATGTTTTTTCTTAATGGTGTTTTCTTAACAGCATTCTTGTTGGTCACAGGCAGCAGGGCTGGTCATAGGGTCTACCTGCTGCCCCAGGGCAGCACCAGTGTTTGTCTGTAGCCTCCTGAAAAACGCCATCCCTTATGCAACTGAGCTGCTGGAGAACTTGCCATGCATTTTCCTTCTGCTTCATCAGCTGTATCTTTTGCCTGATTAAGCTCTTTTGCATCCAGGGCTGTCCTTCCATTCTCTGCCTGCACAGCGCCCAGCACAGCAGAGATGTGTCTCCCGTAGCCAGGGTTCCTGGGCACTGCTGATAAAAAAGGTTAACGCTTGGAAAGTGTGGCTTAAAATGTTCTACTGTTCTCTGTAACTGTCATAATGATCTCATCCTGCATCGCCGTGGGATACGTTGTGGGCCCACATCTTTGGGAGAACAGCTTGGGAAGGGCCTCAGTCAGGAGAACAGCTGCGATTCTGGTGTTTTGGGCAATTTGCAAGCTTTGCTGTTGGTACCTAACAGTTGGAACAGCACTTGGAGGAGAAGTAGGCAATTTTCCTGGCCTGTGCAATGAATGCTACAAAAATATTCTGTCTTTGAGTAGGCCCTAGCAGTGAAATTTTGCTAGGAATAACCAGTAACAAGTGTGTGGTTTTTATCTTGCTGCCATCTTGAGCTCTTGTATCTTGGCCCTGGGGAGAAGCCTGGCTTCCCTTGGGGCAGATGCGCTGGGAGCAGGGGCCATGCTTTTCCCTCAGTGTGCAGTTCATTAATCTCTGCTCACCTCCTTCAAAGCGGCAGTGGGCTACAGCCCCTTCATCCCTTCTTGCTTGGAGTCCCTGAGCTGCTGAAGTCAGGTGTGGTGTTTGCTTCTCCTTGCAGCGGGGAGGGGCCAGAGGAAAAAAAAAAAGTAGATATGGACTGGGTTGTGTAAACAGTTCTGGTTCACTTTACATATAGGCTAAGGATTAACTATAGCCAGGTGCTACAGCAAAGGGGAAAGTCTTAACCTCAGTTAGCACAGCTATAATTTGGGAGGGCTGCAGGAGAACAAGGCTTGTAAAATCGGACCTTTCGTGCATGAAACGTGAGCAGACGCTGATGGTGAAAGGGTGGAGGGAGTGTACCCGTCTGCAGTGCCATACCTGGTGTGAGCTTGGGTGCTAGGCTGGCATCACCATCGCCATCTCTGTGAAGTGCCCTTTAACAGTTTTCTCTTTATTCCTTTGACTTAGACTATGTATACATTAAATTAAAGGTGGTATTTATAGCCATTCCTTGCTGTGTGATGTCGAAGATGCTTTCACGAGATGCAGGATTCCCAAGCCTGCTTGGTTGGATCTCCAAGGCTTGGATGGGACTGAGTGTGCTCCTTAGCAGAGCTTCGGATGTCCTGGAGACTTCTGCCTGAATCTTCAGGCACCTGAACAGCTTAGGTGGAGTTGCTCCCAAGTGCCTTCCTGAATGAAGTTTCTGAAATGGGCATCTCCTGAGCAGAGGAAGAAGTGCAGTGTTTTGGGTTCTTGTGGTTGCAGTCACACAGGGCTGCTGGAGGGATCCAGCAGCCCCCAGAGCAGAACAGCACCTTCCGTCATTGCGTTGTGGTAACCAGCAAATCAGCCACCTCCCACAGGGTTCTCTGAGATTAGAAAGTCTGCAAAAGCCTGGGGCCCATCTGACCAGAGGGACCAGGTCCTGGGCGCATGGCAGGTCTTAAAGAGTGGGACAGGGGAGCCGCCACTGTGGTACATCAGATTTGAGGCTAGTTGAGAGCTTTGTCACTGGCCGTGCGTTAGCAGCAGCCTGGCCTGCCTCTGTCCGGGGCACCTGCAGTCTGCTCCCCAAAGGACTTGGAGGTTCCAGGGGTGGGATCCTGTGACACAGACATGTAGCTGGATAAATGATGTACTGTTCTATTCTCTGGGTGGCATCTTCTTCAGTGTGATGGCAGGGGGCACCTCTGGCTCTTCTGTGGAAGCAAAGGTGTTGATGGCTGCCAGCTTTGTGCTGGAGTTGGTGATGGTTCCAGAGAGCAAGAAGGGGTACCAGGCGTGTTGGCTGCCCTTCAGTGCATGCAGCCTAGACTAGCTGGATGCTCTGAGATGATCTACGTTACTAGCCATGGTAACATGCAAAGGCTGCAAATTTGCCTTTGTGAAATTGCTTCTCAGACCCTTCTCCTAATTACCTGCATTGTTGGGGCTTCCTGTGCAAACAGTTCTGTGACCCTACCAGGAAGTGTGTGATACCTAGGAAGTTCATCCACATGGCCATCTGAGAGTATGGAGAAAGATGCAGGAGAGGGTCGATACTGAAGCTGGAAAAACTAGCTAGCCATGAGGAGACACGGCTTTCTGCAGGCTCTGTTAACACCCAGCAAGTCTGAGTTGACTGCAGTAAAGCTGCCTAAAGCTCCTAAGTGTTGCCCACTCATGCTCTGGGTCTGCCTTCTGGCTGGCTGCTCAAGTTGAGTGCTACATGTTGGGTGCTCGTGTGCTGGGTGCTTCTTGTCACTGTGTCCTTGAGCATTCCTGAAGAGGCATTGCTGCACCAGCGCCACGTACAGTGCTGATTTCTGTGTAACTCCTTGTTGATTGGGACCCCAGAGGAAAACTGCATCACAGAGATAACTCAATGGCCCGGAGCATTGGATGGGGTGAAAAGGAAACATGAGGAGCTACGTAGTCAGTCATAAACCACAAAACAAATATGCCCAAATTTTCCAATAAATCCAGATAATCTTGCTCTGTCTTGCTAGCCCATGGAGTCCGACAGAAGAAAGGTCTAGCATTTGCTAGCAGAGGGATATTTTCCTTTTAGAGGAGACAGAAATGGTGCTCAAAAGCTTCTGTGATCTGGTGATTTTGTAGTCTTGTGGCCTCTAAAGAAACTCCAGTCTCTTCCCAAAGCCGCAAAACCCAATCCAATTTCTAAGCAGTAAGTTTTTATTGAGTGGTTAGAGGACAAATGCTCAACGTTTGTTAGGGGAAAGCACGCTCAAACACACACTCTCTTCCTGCCCTGCGTGATCCTGGTGGGTCATGAGAAACTGGGGCTGCGTGGAGCAGGTGAGGGGAGTCAGGCTTGAGGCAGATGCTGTGCCGGCAACCGTCTGTATGCCACGATGATCCCATGACAGATCCCATGATACCCAGATCTTGTGTTTCTAGGAAGTCCTTAGTCATTGGCCTTCACCCCCACCCCAGGCTTACCTACTGTGATCCATGAAACTGCTTCCCTGGGCTCTTCAGGTGAGCTGTTGTAGGCTGTGAAGCACTTGCCGGAGTAATGGTAACGTGGGGAGGAGCTGTCGTGTCCCAGGAGGAGCCCACATAGAGCCATACCTGGCCCTGGTACAGCTGCTTCTCCTCCTTTCTGCTGCTTGGAATTGCAGCAAGTGGAGGCCCCTCTGGTAGGGCAGTGAGGGGGCATTGAAATCTTCCTGTAAGCTCAAAGAGTGTGCAAGCTTTTATATGCTGCCTGTTGTGTGTGTCAGTAAACATGAACTCTGTAGGAAAATGGGTTAGAAAGTGTGAGAACAACTGCAGAAAAAAATCTTTTAGTGCGTGGGTCATCTCCTGGCTGAAGTTTTTCTCCGTTTCCACGACAGGTCTAGGAGTACTTTCTGTCAGGCCAATAGCTGTTGTAGCTACTGTGTAGATCGGTGATAGTGAAGGAGTCCTCCTTGGCCAGGCGTATCCCTTTTGGACTGAGGCACCGTGCCAGATAGTGCTTGGAAGTGCGCAGCAGGCAGAAGGAAATTACTAAAACCCAGCCCCAGTTGGAGAATCATCTCCTCCGGGGCAGCAGCCAGGACACACAAAGAGCCTGAACTTCCAGATCTGAGACCCTAAAGCTGTGCTGGTGCCCGGCACTGATGGTCATGAGCTGCATTTGCTTAAGGTAGATTTAGGAATACAGTTTTGTAATCCTTACGGTCTCATTTAAGTCACTCGGCTTCCATGTGTGTTACTGGGCAGTGTTGCATGTCCCTGATTGGGGTGTTAGGAAGCTGTGACAGGTTGATCACTGGAGCTGACATCTGGCTGACCATCTCACTACTGCAAAGCATTCGGAAAAGGCCTGGTGAACAGAACTGGCATTTCTTTCGCAATGTCCGTCTTTGTCATTTGTGGCTTGCACACAAACCTCATTACCTGGTTACCTCGGTTTTGCCTGAATTAGCACAGCCAGATGTTCCTAACTTTGTTTCTTTACTTCTTTCTTTCCAGCGGATCGTTGTAAAGAAGTACAGCAGATCCGAGAGCAGCATCCAAACAAAATCCCGGTAAGTTACCATTATAGAATCATAGAATGTTTTGGGTTGGAAGGGACCCCTACAGGTCATCTAGTCCAACCCTCTTGGCCTCTCTCTTCTTTTGATTTTAGCACAGAATCTTCTAGCAGAAAGAATTCTTTCTCTTCCTTCTCTTCTTCTACCACTGTGGTGTCCACGTGTTGTCAGCTCAGCAGATCAGGACTTGCCCCTTGCAGCACACTGGGTACCAGTATGCTGTATCGTCTCCATGTTTATGGACCACTGCTTTTAACGCAGTTTTCATGGCATTAGGCTGGCTCTGTGTTTCTCCAGAGTTGTAGCAGACCTAATTACAACACCTTATGGCTCCAGCAATAAGGACAGGCTAGAAAGAAGTGGTACATAAAATATACATGCATGCATGTATCATGTGCCTCTACGCAGATGCGCCGTTGCCTGGGAATTGAACAGGAGCCAGAGCTCTGCAGCCATGTGCAGAATTTTACCAGCATTACTGAAACGTGGGGGGAGAGCATCTGTGGCTGGAGTGTTCTTTGTGTTTGGGTCAAACACCACGTGCCCCAGGAAAAGGCTTCTGTGTCATCAGGACCTGGCCTCTGGTGTGGTTGTCTGGAGAGTTGTATGTGTGCAGGGAGGTTTAGCCACAGCAGAGACCTGAGCCCTCCTGCCCCTGCTCCAGTGACCTCTCTGTTCTGTGCCTTATTGTCCTGGGTAGTGTCCTGAGTGCCATGGTGAGAGGATGAAGGAATTGGCTAACTGCTCAGCTGCTTTGCTTTCCTGGGCCGACTGACACAGCAGGGATATGCTTAGCTGCAAGTTTTGCTGGAGCAGTGAAAAGAATCGGGAGGAGAGAAGGGTGTTGAAGGACTTGGGGGGTCCAGCTGCGTTTGTGTCAATGGTACCTCTAAAAGCCTTGTCCCGATTTAACCCTGACACCAAGTTTGCTGCTTTCTCTTCTCTTCTCTTTTACATAGCGAAGTTCCTGCAAGCCCCTGTATGTTGCTTATAGTGCTCAGGCTGTGAGCAAAGCCTCATGCTGCCAAATGGAGCACGGTGTGGGGGATAGCTGTGGGTCTGAGCAGCACTGTGCAGGCAAATTGGCTGTAGGAACATCTTGGTCTTTTGTGAAAGGCGGGAGCTGTGTCAGCCAAGTAGCTGGCTTCCCTGGAGAGGTGCTTGAAATTAGCAAAGGGGTTTGAGCCCACAGCCCGGGGGCAGTTAGGGAGCAGATGGCCCAGGTCACCCCCTTATTGCTGGCAGAAATCACAGCAAGCTGTGCTGCAGCTGCTGCCCTCTTCTTGCATCTCCGGTTTCCGCTCAGAGCCCTTGGGTGAGTCCCCTTTTGCTTTGACAGAGGGCCAGGAGGATTTGCAGAATGCATGGCCTGGCTTTCTGCCCAGGGAAAAGCATTTCTCTCTTGTTTCCATGAGGGTACTTCCAGAGGAGGCTGAGGAAGGGGCTGTGCCACGTACACATGGGGGGACTGCACAGGGTGGTGGTGAGTACATCTGAGCCCACCAGAGAAAAGCTTTAGAAATAATTTTCTGCCCTGTTAGAGGATAGACCAAGCTTATGCCTGCCCACCACCCTCGCCTGCTGTTGGCCCCAGTATTCTCTTTCCAGAGCCCATTGAACTTGGGGCCTCTTGAGGAGCAACTGCAAGCTTTAAGTCAGCTCCGGTGAGCCTTGGAGAGTCTGAAATCACCGGGGAGCAGCTTGTGCAGGGCAGCAATGGGAGCAAACCATTTCTCAAAGCCCTGTAATGCTAAATTCAGCAGGGCCTAGTGAGTCACAGGCTTCACTGCTTCAGAGGGTGAGCCACCTCTCACGCTGATGGGGAAGGCTGAGGGTGTGTTTGGGCCATGCAGAGAGGTCTCTGTTAGGTTCTGTGATAAAAAGCTCATCTACACACCCACGAAGGAGCACGGAGAGGCAATGGCAGGTGAAGGAGCCCAAATAATGCCCTGCCCTGGCACAGTGGTGGACAGAAACCCCAATTATGGACTTGGAGGAAGGGACAACCTTCTCTGTGCTCCTGCAAGGACTGTTCCAGGGAGCTGCAGACCCAGTGCCCAGGGCTGACACGACTCAAGATGGATCAACACCACAGCACCTTTTGGACTGTGAGGGGGTTTACTGTATGTATTGCCACTAAAGGAATATATACCACCCTGCTCAGCCAGAGGGGGACAGGATGAGGCCGTTGGTGCTGCCTGTGTTCGTGTGAGTGCTCTGCATGTCTGTGTTGATCTCTCTGTCTGGCCACATTTATAGGTAGGTATGTGTTACATACACACATTTGTATGTGCATGTGCCAACTGGGAATACATTCTCAGCCTTGCCACTGATTGGACCTGGGGGCACGGAGTGGTGGCAGCCTTGCCTCTCTCAGGCTGCCAGATCTGGCCCCATTCCCTACCAGAATCCCTTTCTCCCTCTTCAGAGTGGCCCCAGAACAAGGGTTGAGTTTATAAATGCTGCCCAAGCCCCTTCTGTGGTGGGACCGGGACCCCAGGCCCTGCCCTCAGCCTTTCCGCCTGTGCCCTGCTTGTGTTATTTCTGCAGCGAGAGCTGTAGTGGGTTCCCACTGCAAGAGCAGAAGCCCCACACTGAGGGACCCCCTGGCCTGAGGCAGCAGCGTGGAAGAGGATTTGGGAGGGGAGGTGGCTTTGTGTACAGGCCCTGTGGCCGCAGGGATGTAATATTAGCATTTGATCGTGCATTTCCCTCCAAAGCTAGACAAGAACGTTTTGTCCATTGGCCACCTGTTCCCATAGCTGGGTTACCCGAATAGAGCTCATATTCTGGAAACAGAAACTCTTGAAGCTGTTCTACATGACAGGCCCTCTGTCTGCTCAGGGCACAAGGCAGCTGCTGCTCTAACAGCCAGGACATCCTTCTTAGCCCGTTCTTAGGCTAATTGAGAGGCTTTTCTTTGTGGGATGGAACTGGCTGGTAATTAGAGATGTCTGCCTCTGTTCCTGCTAGATGTAAGCGAGAAATGAGGCACAGCCCAGGTGTGCAGGGCCCTCTCTGCAGGTAAAGGCATATGCACAAACGATTGCTGCGTAGCTGCCCCTTTTATGCAAGCTACTATTAAAAACTCAAAGTCCCACTGCTGCCTCTGTGTTTCCCAGTGGCCAGAGCAGCATCCCTGAATGTGGCTGTTGTGGGTATCCAGCCCCTCGAGACAGTTATAGCCAGAATACTCATCTGGCCAAGTAAGACTCAAATTAAATACAGTTAATTAATTCGGTTCTGCTTGTCTTTGGCCTTCCTCTGTCCTCTTCCTGGAGGGAGGAAGGGATGTTAGCAGGTTGGGAAGGGGCATGATTTAGTCTGTTGCAGAAAATTGTTCTTTCATCAGGTACCCATCTTGGGAAAGGGGCCGGAGGAGCAATACCTGGCTTTCCCTGGTCTTCGTCTCTGGCGCTCCTGCTCAGTGTCAAGAGGAGACATGGGTAATGTGAGAACACCTTGGTGGACTCATGGGGGCCTTCATATGCTGCGTGTCTGGCCCTCGGGCTCCTGGGTTCCCCTTGTGTGAGCTTAGTCCAGGATGGGCTCTTCAGAGGGCATTTAGGTGCAGAGCTCTCACCAAGGCACCCCGCACCCCTCCCGCATCCAGGAACTGCCTTGCAGCGTAGCTTGGCGTGTCCTGGTGGGCCTCGAGGTCAGCCCTGCAGTCTGGTGAGCTCATCAGGCATCCTCAGCCTGCTGGTGACACCGCAGCATCCCAGCCAGAGCTGCTGATCTGGCTTTGGTGTAGACAGGAGTTCCACTGCTGCTGCTGATAGAAGCTAGGTTGTCAGCAAGTGGCCAAGGGAAAGGCAAGGCAACATTCCCAGGGGTTCGCCTGATCCTTCTGGCTCCACAGAGCCATCTTCTGGGGATCCTGATTTCTGCATGCTGCTCCGTCCCCTCTCTGTCCAAAGACATTGGCAGTCTCCCGTATATTTTTGGAAAATACCTGGGAAAATTATTTACGGGGATTCCTTGCCTTATAGTGAAAAATAAGGTTCAGTCTCAACTCAGAGAGGACGATGAACTGACAGGTATACAAGTGTCTTTCTGTGGAGAAAACAACGAGGTACTGGAGAGATGTGAGAGTCAGAGTATCGCTGTAATGGGGACATATTAAGCTTTACAAGTAATGTCATTACTTATTTTAACTGCCTGACATCTTGTTTCTTAGCATACAGATAGTACATTTCCCAGCTTGTTTAGAACAGCAGTTGTAGCTGTCAGCCGACACCCCTTAACAGAAGAAATTTATTCATTATAATAGCAGGAAAAGGGAACAGAAATCATTGTTTAGCCATTTCAGAGCCATAAGAGCTTTCCCGAGCAAGACCTCTTGCAGGGGAAGGCAGGCTGAGCTGTCCCCACAGTGGCACTCTGCTGGAGTGGCCTGGAAACTCACCGCACGGTTGCAGTGGCACACGGGAGAAGTGCCCATGGCTTTCTGATCCTTTTTGGAGTCAGTGTGTCTGTGTGTTGACGTGAGGAGTGGACTGGCGAAACCCAAACTCCCCCTTTCTGAAGGAATGCCTTGGGCGGCTCTGCAGTGATTTCTGAAAACTGCTTCTTTGGGAGTATCCATGGCACTTCCTGAACGAGCAGGGCAATGCTGAATGGCAGCAGCCCGGAGCTGTGGCACAAAAGGGAAGGAAAATCTCTCTTGCTATGCACCATGAATTCAGTCCTTAGCTCAAGCCAGCAAAACCTTATAGAATCATAGAATCATAGAATGTTTAGGGTTGGAAGGGACCACTAGTGGTCATCTAGTCCAACCCCCCTGCAGTGAGCAGGGACACTGCTAACTAGATCAGGTTGCTCAGAGCCCCATCCAACCTGGCCTTGAATGTTCCCAGGGATGGGGCCTCCACTACCTCTCTGGGCAACCTGTTCCAGTGTTTTACCACCTGTGGGTTTGGTCAGTCTGAAAGTGATTCACTCCTCTTCCGGATCTCCTGCATGTCAGGGGAGGTAGCTAAATCAATCCACCAACACCTACTGTTTCTCAGCCAGCCAGAGCAGTTGATGCTTTATAGTTCACTTATCTTGGATGCTCTCCACCATCTGGCTCGGGCAGGCAGATGACTCTGCTGCAGAGCTGTCTGCAGCCGTCCTGGTGGTCACTGCTCATGTCCTTTGGTTTGTTTTCCTGTGAGGGTGAAGCAAAGTGGGGCCTTACCTCAGCTTTTCCACTTGTGCTAGTTTGATTTGTGTTTGACCCGGAGGCCAGTGCCTGGGGCCCTGTAAACTGTGCCTAACCCTGCCATTGACTTTCTCCCCAGGTCATCATCGAACGCTATAAAGGGGAGAAACAGCTGCCAGTGCTGGACAAGACCAAGTTCCTTGTCCCAGACCATGTCAACATGAGCGAATTGGTCAAAATAATCCGGTGAGTGGGGTGGCCCCAGCTGGCGCCCTGTGAACCTGTCCTCACCCATGGGCCTTGAAAACGGAGCGGTGGGGCGAGCATGAGGCAGGGGCAGCTGCTGGGGGTGGGGAAGGGGGTACAACAACCACAGCATCCTTGTGTTGTGGTGTGGACTGTTTGGGGGGAGTGGGGGCAGTTCCTAGTGTCTGGTGAAAGACTGTCACCTCTCCTTCATAGGAACACTCCGTGAGCTGGTAAGGGGGATTCCAATCCCCTTCTTTTATGCTTGGATGCTGCATGAGCTGGTGAGGGGGACTCCAATCCCCTTCTTTTATCCTTCAGCTCAGGTGGAAGAGCCCCCAAGCCAGCAGCAGCGCTTGGAGAAAGGGGCTTTGCAGAGTCCCCACTCAGGAGGCCTTGCAGCCACGAGCAGCTGGGCTGGGCTCATAGGCACCATGAGGAGGTCCTGCCTGTGCAGGCCTGGCCCCATGTGAGCAGCATGGCTGGGGGGGTCAGAACTTGCTGCCATGGCGCCTGGCCCAGGTGGGTTGACCCAGGCCTTCCTGCCCTTGCCCCCACAGGCGTCGCTTGCAGCTGAATCCCACCCAGGCTTTCTTCCTGCTGGTGAACCAGCACAGCATGGTGAGCGTGTCTACCCCCATCTCGGAGATCTACGAGCAGGAGAAGGATGAGGATGGCTTCCTCTACATGGTCTATGCTTCCCAGGAGACCTTTGGCTACTGAGGCTGCTGAGAGGTGGCATGTGGAGACAAATGGACTGTGGCGCACAGGCCCCAGCCTTGGAAGACAATGCAACCAGAGGCTCACGAGAGGGGGACCGTGCCGACTCCCCCTCTCTCCCTCCCTCCCCTTCCCATCCCCCTGTCACCAAAGAGGCTTGTGGCGTGTGTTGGGCTCACACAACCCTTCACCTTGTCTAGATTAGTCCCCCTCCCTCCACACACACGCACCCGCGTGCGCGCATACGTGCAGCCACCCACGCGCATGGATGGGGCCTCGCCTTCCCATTCCGTCCCCTTCGTGTAACCTTCAGCTGCTCTCACTGTGCTGTGTACATGTGTGTGTGCGTGTTTGTAGCCTACTGCCAAAACAGGTCAGCTGGTGATGGAGAGGGGACAGGACGCTGTTGCCTTCGCTTCCAGCACAGGGAGAGCCGCCTCTCCTCCAAAACGCTAATAAAGGGCAGGAGGTCTGCAAAAGCAGCAAACAGATGTTACCATTGCTCCCAAGTTTTAATTGATTTTAATTACACCCATATCAGATTCTTGGTGCTACTGAGTAGATGTAGGCGTCTCTATAGGACTGTGGATAATGTATATCCTTTAAGTTTATTTTATTGGTTGGTTGGTTTGTTTGTTTGTTTTTTAGGGATAGATTGGAATGGGGAGAGGGGGCAATCTTTCCTGTATTCTGTAGGTAAATAAATCGGGCTTCATTGCACTTTAAAGCATAGTAGGTGTCAGAGTGGAATTTACTTTTAATTTATACAGGTTTGCCATACATAGTGCTGCTCCTCTGTTGATAGTTGTACCTAGATTGTCTTTTTTTTTTTTTTTTTAAAAATAAAATTGATTTCCCTCCTCTCTGTCTCCTCATTGCATGCAATTTTTCAGTCTCAGCGTGGCAAAGAGTTCGCTCAAGGAATGTACTGATTTATATTTGCTATGTTCCTGTTCCTGTTTCCCGTGTATTATACCAAAAAAAAAATGTATATGATAAAATCCCACCCAGTTTAATCTATACAAAGGTATATATATAAATATATATATAAAATAAACATAAATTCAAGTCGTGTCTTGTAGGAATGTTCTGTTCCCATCTCATTTGTCAATGTCCCTAGTACCAAGTAAGAGCGGTGCATGTTCCATGCTTGCCCTGGAGCTGGTTAGTCCAAGCTGTGACCAAAGCAGCTGGCTGGGGTTGCGGGGCTGAGGTGAAGGTGGGAGCTCGATTTGGAGGACAGAGCTCTGGATGGTGATGGGGAAGAGTGGATATCCATGCCCTACCTGTGACAGGGTGTTAGGTAAGTCTCTTGCCTGTGACCAAGTTTCCTCATCTGGGGGGAAAAAAAAACCTTGAGGTGGAGGGCATTTGCAAAATCTCTGCTTTTAAAGGAAATTGAGCAGGGCAGGAAATCTCCCTGAGCACTCAGCCAAAACTGTTTTCCAACCAAAGGCAATGTCTTGTTCACATTTCAGCATTTTTCCCTGCCCCTCAGATTTCTCTCCTTCCTTTGCACTGCCCAGCAGAGAAAGGTTCAGATACCGTTTGCCCAAGCTGCAGCTGACTATCTTGTTTATGTCCTACGCCTGCAGGGAATCTCCTGTCCAGGGAAGGAGCTGACATGAGGAAGAGATCCAGCAGAGTGCACGCAGGTGAGTAAACGCTGAAGAAAGGTGGTGGGAAGCCAGCTGGGAACACAGCACCCTGCAGAGTATAGGTGAGAATGGTCGTCCCACTGGTCCTGGCAGCTGGTGCAGCAGTGGGGATTGTCCCTTCTAAAGCACCAACCCCACGGTATTTAAACTCTACTCCCTGAGCTCTCCCATCTGCTTCCCTGTGGGATGGGCTCCTGCAGCAGCGTCCACCCCGCTGAGGCTTCTCCCTGTGGGAGGGGGTGAAGGAGAGGCAGATGTGCTTAAATGCAGTGGGCTGGAGCCCTTGCCGGGGTAAGTAGTGGAGCTGAGGTGTCCGCTCTCCACTGGGAATGCAGTCACCTGATTCCCTTCACCCCTGTGGGGCTCCGCTGCAGCAAGCTCAGCCAGGGAAAGGGTGCTTTCAAAAGGCAGAGCTATGGGAGAGGCAAAACAGCTCTGCCTGTGCCAGTGTTAGGTTAACGGCTGGACTTGGTAATCTTAAAGGGCTTTTGCAAAAATTCTGAATGCCCCCTTCGCTTTGACTGCAATACTACAGGAGGGACAACATTCGCTCAGGGAAGCAATAGAGCTGTAGATTGCTATTACTTGGGTCCAACCACAGGCATGAGGATTTGGAAGGACTTTTGTTCCAGTCTCAAAGATAACAATAAACCAATAGAAGCCCAATCAAAAACTTAAAAGCTTTAGTATAAAATTTAAGACAGGACCTGAATGGAATAGAACGGTGGAACTGGTTGTCAAATTGATTGCCTTCTGTTACCCCAATATTGAAACAATATTAGTGATGTTAGGAGTGTTGCTTATCAGCGAGATCAGAGGCTGCTGTTTTGCTCAAGCATGGCCAGCCTGTCTTGCTCAAAGCTGTGGACACAAATACTTGTTCTGCTCCAGTTTAAAGCATTCAGGGAGTGTTACGTAAGAAAAGGCTGCAATGTAGAGATGGCTTCGAAGACGCACACAAGAGAACTTGGCTGACAGTGACCTTGCCTGCACAAGGGAGACTGCTCTTAGAAGACACCAGACCAAACCAGCTGTAAGCAGCAAAGTTGCACCGAAATTGTGCAAACTCAGCTAATAAATACACATTAAGTGTGCTTGCATGGCAGCGTCGCACGACAAGCACTCAGAAGTGAATGGTAACAAGAGATACCATGGCCGAAGCCAATAGGTTATATAAATTGTAAAAGTGGACATGTGAGTAGTCTCAAAATTGCCCGTAAGGAATCAGGAGTGTGATGCGAGGTCCTCCTCAGGCTCCCAGCCAAGAGGAACCTTTACTGCTGGCAATAAAAGGGGCTTTAGCTAGGGGGAACTTAGGCCTTTTTCCCAGTACCCACGCATGAACTGGAAGAAAATCCAAGCAAATCCATTTTGCTAACACTCAACTGTTTTGACGGACTTTCTACCCCATTCCCTCTTTTTTTCACTTTCACCCAGCGTTGTGCTGTGGCAGACGGGCTTGGTGCCATGCTCCTGGCTGCTGCTGACCTCAAGGTAATTGCACTGGATTTTTCTCACTTTCTCCACCTTGTACACAGCTCCAGCAGGTCCAGGCAGTCTTGGGCGAAAAGGAGGATAAAAGGAGTACCCCGGGACATAAAGAAAGGCAGAGGGAGGGCTCAGGGTGGCAACCAAGGCCACAGAGATGCCTGAGGGGCGTACCCAGAGGCACACAAAGGGCTGGAAGCTGGGCACTGGAATGAACATGGGGAGCTCTGAGCCGTGACAGAACGCAAACAGAGGGCTCAGACTGCACTAAATAGCACAGAACAGGTACTAAGGCATTCAAAAAGAAATGGAGGCCCTTGAGCGGCAATAAAAAGCAAATGGCAGCCACACAGTTGCCCCAAAAGGCCCCTGGGCGCCTTAGGGCACATGGAAAGGCAAACAGGCCCTGAGGAGGTCACAGAATGGGTCCATCTCCCGGACCAGCTCTGCTGCCCA